GGATAGTATAGATAATCTCAAATCCCTTCAGATACCGGGAACTCCAAGTTGTGGAGCATCAAACCGGCATCTGATCTGGGCACAGCACATCGTGCAGACCCTGTCTATGGAAGGGTTACCCTGTTTTGGTCATTTGAACTGTTATATGATTTTCTCACAAGAAAACAACTCCATTCATCATTTCTACTGTCCAACAGAAAGAATGTTCACATGAGAAGTTCTTGTTGCACTTTTAACTAAAGGCAAGTACTTGCATATGGCATAATCACCACTAGCAAGTGAAAGCTGCCTACAAGCTCTCTGTTACAATTAGCTGACTATGTTTATCCTGTGGCTAAGAGATATTTACAGCACAACACAGGCCTAAAGGCTAAGCTGTATGTGCAGCACAGCATAGACTTGGGTCTACTCAGGTTGACTGTTATGTGGATCACATTCCTCAATGTGCAATGATCGGGATCATTACCCTGAGATACATGACACTATCTCCAGTCCTCATTCTGCAGAGGAATTTGCAACATCAAAATAAACCAGTTTACAGGGATTATCTTACACTAAATATACCCCAACCCAATTAGATTCAGCTGATCACAGTGTTTCATAAAACTGGTTCTTGTAAAATTCCAGGAGATTTTCCCATTACCCATAATTTTCAGTAAAGGAAGAAAGAAAGTGCTTCATTCCAAAAGCATCTGCTTTAAGGTCAAGAGCAAGTTTATTCATAAGTTAGGCTCTCGTCAGATTTGGACAGATCCTGTTCAATTTCTAGATACCCTTTTCTGAGGCCAACTGAGTACTTCCTTAGTATTATTTTACAATCTGTTGGACCAGCAGCAGTATGGCTATATAGTCGTCAGCAGCACGCAGCACCTGCCTGGCCAGGCAAGCACTTGCCAGGCTGGAACAAGAGCACTGCATCTTGCCAAGCCCGCCGTGGTAACACTTTTGAGTGAACCTCAGGAGTGCTTCTGTGCCAGCGGCACGACTAATTGCCATTAATACTGTCACAGCAGCGATTTGCCCATAGATGGCAGTATTTGCTGTTCTTTTGCAATACCAGCCGTATTTGCATTTACTGTATTTGTTCCATCACAGAAGATTCAGTTGTTCAGTAAGGCCATACACTCCAACTGAAAAGACAGTTAGAGAAAAGTTACTGACTCATCTCTCGGGCTTTCTAAGAAAATTGAAAGAGGGTCTGATTATATTAGTACAAGTTGTAAAAATCCAAGTTGGTACTTCTTAAAGACAATTATTCAAACCTGACGATGTTCTTGTAGCCAATAGCATCCATTTTGGCATCTGCATCTTTAAAGCACTGCAGATGGGGAATTGAAGTACATGGAGCCATCAGCATGAAGCAGTCCTGAATCCATAGAACTCAATGAAGATGTTAAAGGAAAGAATGAGGACTTTGGTTTCCCCCTGCTCACATGATTTTGTAACTTAATAGCTGTAAGATGGTTGTCCTTGCTATATTTGCTTTTAAATTGAGATAAAATGGTAGACACAAAAAATTTATCAGCAGTCTTGATGGCAGTAAAACAGTCGCTTCCCCAGAGTAAGATGATGAGATGTGCTGCTCTGTGGACAGCACTACTGTCTGAACACAGAGTGTCACTGACAAGTTTTTGTGCTACAGTATACATCTGAGGGCTAGCAGATGTTAACTTGTTTTGAGTGCTTGTTATGACAGGCACTGCCTCCAACAAATGTGTCCTTTTTGTTTGCATTTATTCTGCAGCTTGTCCTCATTGGTGACTCGGCAGTAGAGTAGTATGGTTTAGAAATACAAGTAGTAATCTCACTGCCACTTCTGAAGTAAGCAGTGTGACCACAGGCGCAGACTGATGTTCTGTACCGTAATAAATCTCTTGCATGTTAGGATGTGTGCAAGTTCCAGTCAGATCACTTTATATGCTAAATAATATCACATCAGAAATGGGCCAGAGCAATATGACCCTTTTTTCTGACTGAGGAAAGATATTTTTGTGTCTAGGCACAGAAACAGAGCTTATATCATCTGAGTTTATTTCCCAAGTTTTCAAAAAAAATCTGTAGACCTTGGACCCCTTGCCTCACTTCCTTATGACAGAAATGGGACAGTAAATCTTCTTTTCTTTCCAGTTTAGCCTGACTTGTCAAGTAGTGTGAGCTCTTTACGGAGTGGGTGATCTCTTGTTCCAAATGAATGCATATCAATGAGCATTGATATCCATAGGAGTTTTGCGTGAATAAAGAATACAGAACTGGGACTCTCATTTGTGCTATGTAGGGGGAAAAATGGTGTATGAGCTGTTGGATGTAGTCATATTCCCCTATATTTAAATGCTTCTTAAGAGTGTCTTAACTGTTCTCAGATTATCTACACTTTGAGCTCTGTGGCTCCACCTATAAAGGATATGAGTGTACCCCAGTAGTGCAGTGCAAAAGAAGAAACTCGTGAGGTGCAGAGAATCCTGTTTAAGTGGTTTGGCTTTTTCGGGAAGTCTGCAGCAGAGCTGGAAGTTGAATCCCTGAATCATACCTTTAAAGGGGAAGCTGACAACAGGTGGTTCCTTTGCATCTCTAAGAAAGCATGTGCAGCAGCCACATCTGCTAAGCACTTTTTGTAAAAAATTTCTTCCTCATATCTAATCTAAATCTACCCTCCTTCAGTTTAAGGCCATTACCCCTTGCCCTGTCACTACATACCCTTGGAAACAGTCCCTCTCCAGCTTTCCTGTAGGCTCTTTTAGGTACTGGAAGGTGCTATAAGGATAAGAATATGGAATGTGGCAGAATGTCTCAGAGGTCAGTAATACCTGCTTTAGGAAAATGTATAAAAGGTACCATCATCACAAAATCTGCCTTTAGAGGAAGTTTAAATATAAGCCCCAATTAATGAAAGATTATTTTCCCTAGAGCTTTTACTGTTAGTAGTTAATTATTACAGCTGCTTTTTCATAAAAAAGAAATTGAAATGAAATGCAATTCAGTGTTTTCAGAAATCTTTTTAATATCCCTGTAAAACAGGAAAAACGTCTGTCAAACAGCAAACACTTCTGTTGAACAGCTGCAAAGATGATGAACAAATGTGGAGGAACAAATAATGCCACAAAGATTGTTTTCTAAATCCAGAATGCTTGTTCTAAATCACAGAATAAACACCTTTGCATAAAGTACAGGAATGTTTTCACTGAGAAGCTTTTTAAAGTTGTGGTACAAAAAGTGAATTGTGCATTCGTGTGCAATGTAGTGCATTCATTGCATAATAGTACATATGCAGTAATTAAAATCAAAGCGAAAGGCCAAATACCAAATGAAGGTAATAAAGTAAGGAAGAAAAATTTGGCTGATGACACTTGACAAAGCTGTGCAAATAGTCCTTTATATGTAACATAAGGATAGTAAATGTGAAATGCATGGAGAGTAATGCTTCTGGGAAGGCTCAAATTCAATGAATTTAAGACAAAACATTGAAGTCTGTTTATGTTTATACCAATCCAAGTCCAGGGTTACTCCACTGATTTAGAGTTATTCTGGATCTCTATCAATATGTTTGAAGTTAGTATCTGGCTCACATCATAAATTTCATTTCTATCTTTTCCGGACTTCCAGCAGACTATCTGAGGGCAGAAAGAAAAAATGGCCCTAAGCCTTAATTATAATTGTATTACAGTGTTTTTTTCTAAAAAATGTACTTTTAATTTGTATTTAATCCCTCATTCTTTCTGAACCATAAACCTCTCATTCATAATGAAAATAACCAGCTATCTTATTGTCTTGTTTCTACTGCAGTTTTATATTCAAATGCCTTTTAATATTTTCTCCTTTCCTGAAATCAAAGAAGTTTTAAAAATATGTACAATTCAGTTAAATAAATGCTGTTATAATTTCCTGTGTTTAAAAGTTACTCTTCCAATGTGCATCTAATAACTTCACTTCCATATATATCACCTTCTAGATAAGGGACTTAGAAGTAGTACTATAGAAACAGGTACAGTCTTACAAACTTAAACTGCAGATTTTTTCTCAAATCCACTCAAACTCACACTAACAGAAACTCTTTTTGCAAGAGAAACAAACTGTACAGAGAGTTATTTACTCTAACTTAAAGACCTGATTCAGCCCCTACTGAATGGGACTCCCCATAGATTGGTTTGGATCCTAGATAAGAATTACTAGTTAATCAATGGAAAGGATCAGGGGAAGATGAAAAGTATATGCGTGCCAAAACGCACACACAGCCATTTCATCTGGCTTAGTATTGCATTCCTTTTTACATGGATGCAGAATGAAAGAATACTGATGTTATCTGCAGCTGTTCATATTGCTGGGAAAAAGTAATATTCCATCCAATTATTAGAATACTCTTCCTGCTTTGAACAGAACCAAGTAGGATTTCAAGGCATCCTATTTTTTTGTCAGTTTCTTGATTTAAGATGTCTAGTGATGGTGATATAAATTCCTGGGCTGGAGTGATGACTGGAAACTGTTCTACATTGTTCAAGCAAACAAAGGTAAACAAATTGAGTCCTTCCACACAAAAGCATAACTACTGTAGAAAATACTGATTTGCAGTCCAGAAGCCAAGAGCGCACAACAATATATAAGGGACAACTAATCTTCCAGAAACACCAAGACACTAGAGTCTTAGATCTTTATAGTTGCCCACTGGACAGTAAAAATAATTCCAAAAGCTGCTATCTCCTTGTCATAGTCCCAAAATATTTTCCTAACAATTAATATTTTATTACACAGAACATACAAATTATCCACGGCAATTTAACAGCAGTGTTGCAGTGCTGGCTGGCTATTTCTCCAAACTGTGAGCCAAGATTTAATTGACTTACCCAGGACATGTTAAGCAAGGTTTTGAAATGCCTTAGAAGTCAAAGTAATCTAACAAACCATGTATTATAACATTTGTCTGTGCTGGCTTGACATCTCTTCAAAGCAATTGCTGAGTGGTCCCTGGAGTCCAAGTGAAATAGCAACAGGGAGGAGTCATATTGCAGTCAGTAGGAATCCATTGCTTGAAGGTTCTGAAGGACTTCCAGTGCAACTTCATAACAGAATAAATAGTCATCCTGTATACAACATAAATTCTGTATGCAGCATAAATCCTGTATGCAACATAAATTCTAGACAAAGAAGAATGAACTGGCTGAAGTGCTGCTTATAACATCAGCATCTTTGTAACACGGACACAAAACCTTAGATATCTAAGACCACCCTTGGTCTTTCTGTTCATCAGGAATGCTTTCTTATTCAATGCAGTACCTGTAAGCATGTGCTCAAGTCTCATTTAGGTCAATGAAATCTATCTATTTGCTTAATTTTAATCACATGTTCAATAATTATACTAAAGAAAAATATATCAAAGCACGTGCTAAAATCTTCCCACTACCTGTTTGCTCCAAATTGAGTTAGCTGCATCTTGTCTTTTCCTGTGTGAAAATTCTTTTCAGGGGTAGGTTTAACTCAGCAGTAGAAGTGTTTACTGAGGTGATGATAACTCAGCAATAGCAAGAATTCAACTGAAGGCCACAATTTTGCAGGTAGAGTTTATGGTATCTCACCAGTTTTGTTGCTGATCCCTGCTTTTTTTTGCTTAAAAAAGAAAGGGGGGCTGGTATGTATGCTATATTGATGCTTTGTTTTTATTTTAGTTAGCTATGAAGGGACAGACTTTTCATGTTTAAATCTAGACACCACTTGCCTGGAAGGCTGTTATTTTCCTCAAATGAGAGGGCTAAAATTATGCTTTAAGCCCCAGATTTGTAAAAGCATGTCGATATGTACCACTAATTGATACTTTTAAAAAACATAATGTAGTTGAATATTGAGAACTTACCTTAGTTTGGATCATGCCAAAACGCTGATCTCTCAAATCTCTCACTATCTGCTTGATGTTGAACTATCAGAAGAGAACAGTTTTTATTTTGTTGCCATGCAAGTTATAAAGAAAGATTTCAGCATGTTCAGATGGGGAAGCTGTGATTCAGTTATTTTACAAATAGTATATTTGTAGTTATCATCTTGGTTGTTTAAAACAACAAAAGCTGGTTTTTTTTCCATTTTGTTAGGATGAATTCTACCAGGAATTACTCTGGTCTAAGATACCGCCACATGTTGTTGACATCCTTACCAGTTTGTAATACTTAATGATGATCTGTTTGATACTTACACATAGATCTTCTTCTATATAGCTGAGCAGAACTTCAACACACAGCAAAATTCCACTTCTTCCAATGCCAGTGCTGCAGTGAGCAACAATAGGTCCTGTATTGTGAGCTTTTCTCATGTAACAAATAAACTTTACAAGCTGCTCAGCCAGTTTGGGAGTATTGTGGTCTGGCCAAGTGGTAAACTGCAAATGACTTATAATGCGCTTCTCTTCTGTCTGGAAGAGAAAGACCAGAAATGTTAAAAATGATCATTCCTAAGACTGATTTTCAAGGAATTTCTGGATTTCTGCTGAAGTAAACCTGTGGCTTTCTGTAGTAATTTGATACTGGTCCAAGACAAACATAGCAAACATAACATGTTCATTGAAACAATCACATATAACGGCCCATCTTCCCATCTTAATCTTTTGCAATATGCTCCACATTCAGTGCCATAAGGAGAACTGTGTTTTCTTCATACAGAGAAATTGTTTTCTTGATGGAAAAAGACACCAAGTTAGTGTAGCACAAGTATGAATTTTCTAATTATTCCATTAATTAATATGTCCTGCAGAAATTTTTGCAAAGCTTTACTTTATATTGAGGCAAGACTGATGTACTTATAGTTGTCCTGATTTCCATGTTCTTACACCTGGATTTTGTATTTGTTAGGTTTCTAAAAAATTGCTGCTAGATTTGTAGTTTCATGTGTATTCATGCCTTTTCATGAATTAAAGAAGTATCATTTGTTCTAAATTCTAGGATGAAAACCACCTTCTTCCCCTCTTTCCTTCCAGCCACCACTACAGAATATGAACCCACTTACTGATTTGATGAGAACAGTAAATTATTCTGCAAAACACTGAACACATCAGCTCTATGACTATTAAAGGAATAATTTCTGAACATTCTTGTCCAAATGTATGTAATGTTGGATACATTGCTTGTGCAATGAGCAAAGAAAAGCATTTCATTATCCCTGATTTCATGCCTGTTATTCATATTTTTACATTCCTAAAAAATACAGAGGTAATATTGTGGAAGAAGAAAACAATAATACTAATATTTACTTATGAAAATATCTAATCAGTTCCATCGTAAATCAAAGCATTAAGTATACTCAACTTACCTGCTTGTTGATAATTTCTATTGTTCTAATTATGAAGTATTCCAGAATCTCATAATTGTCCAGCCTGAGATGGAAATTAGCTAGGTCTATAGAGTCATGGGGAGGTTCGGGCCAGTATCGATGACATTTGACTTGCCCGAGCTCCACTTCTTTTGTCACCATGGCAATCACGTCTGATTCACTCTCCCAGACCATTTGCCAGAAATCAGCCATCGTTGATGGCAGAGGTCCTTGGGTTATAATATAGAAATGTTCCTCTCCTCCAACTTTCATTCTAATGTAACTTGCGTTAATGTAGCCATTCTTTTCTCCCAGAGGAACTCGCGTCTTATCATCTGTACAGAAGAAGAAAGTTGCTATTTCAGCTGTATGTCTGAAACAGAGTTCTACCACCTCTAGCACTCAGGAGATGGGGAACCTCAGCCTCTAGCAGCAAAGCATGACTCTGGATTTTAGAATACATTTGACTAGTGGCACTAATATTAATCACTGCTAATAGGAATTCCCACAGATAAATGATATGGTTCACTGCAGCTTTATTTCTCTTAAGATACTTGTGTAACACTCTGACAAGCTTTCTAATTACCATAGAATTGTTTGGCAGTAATTCAAAATAGTGTATCCAACACTGCTTTTAATGTATGGCATGAGAACATTGTTGCTGGATATTGGTGTTATAAAACAGGAAACTTCTGAGAATGTATACCATATCACTAATATAGACAGGTAACTGTGCTACAAATTTTGCATGTGTTGTCCTGCTGCTGCAGTTTAGAAAGACATCAAGGGTTGAGAAAGCATTGTCCTTCTGTCATGATACCTCTTTGGGAATCATTGGACAGTACATTATTTTCTGGAAATCCTTGTTAACAGCAGTCATTCAGCTCTTGGACTCAAATCTTCCTTCTAAAATGACTTATCAGCAATGAAACTTGTTTCTGACTCAGATCAGAGCTGAGCAGCTGAAAGCTCTGGCTGGATATTATGCTTTCAAATACTTCTGAAAGAATCTTTATCTTTCCAAGAGCTACATAATTCCATAATTTCCATTGTACTTTTCAGAAATCCACCATGGCATAAGCAGTAGATGTAGCTGTAAATGTAAATAGATTTAAAGAACTGCTATTATAGTTCAGGTTACATTTTCCCCCAGAAGTGTAGTAGATCAGTATCTCTGAGAAAGAGGGAAGGAAACATCAAGACATCTGGCCCCCTACCAGACCAAGTCCTGCCTTGTGGAAGGTGATACTTCTGAAAATTACATATTGTGCAATGCAGACAGCCTTACATGAACTCTACCTCTTTTGGAAAAATCTCAATACATGCCATTATTATTGGAGCTCTCCGTGATAAAGGATTTGGTGGGATTTGCCTGCTACATCTCAATGTTATGGCTGTTTTTGTTTTCTGATGTCTTTGTCCCCTGAATGTATGTTCTCATTACTGTGCATACTTACATGGAAGAATATCTTGGTATCTGTTTTTATCCTGGTTTTCTGGTGCTTTGCCAGTTCTGCAGTCATCTGTTGGTTTCACATGTTCTAAAGCCTAGATCAAAGAGAAATAGTCGATCCATGTTGTTCATATCCTTTACAGACAACCTTTACAGAGACAGTGTGAGCAAACTTTACTGCTATATGTGACTCAAGCCAGGCAAATAGACTTCTTACAGAGGAGAATCAGTACCTCATTCTCTAAACTTCTAGGGAAGGAATTCAAATGGCTTTATATTTTCTTCAGCATGCACAAAATTTCTGGGGTTTTCAAGTGAGATTTCCAACCCACATCCCCAGCCCCTGTCATTACAGATCCCTGTTGTATATTGCTGTAAAATAGGTGTTTGGAATAGTGTCTTGGCCAAATGTCAGCATTCATAATTGATAACATACTAACTGAAGCACCAGATATTGCACTGTTAACAGGTAGTCAATGTCAGTGAATACTTTTCAGTGACAGAGAAAGTGATAGATATAGGGAACAGCATCAATGATGTTAAGTGCAAATCCTGTGGTCATTAAGTACTTCATAGCAGATTCAGGGGAACTGAATGCAGTGTAACTGGAGGCAGGAATGTGCAAGTTAATTTCATTTACAGTTTGGAGTTACCTTCACTTTTCTTTATTTTTTACCTGTTTGGTATGCATTGCACAATGCTCAGCCTTCACATTATGCCACCATACAGTGTGTATGGACTCAAATACATGTGACAGTTCTTTAACATCTTCATCAGTTACTAAAGGTTTTCCTCAGATAAAATATCCATTGGCTATTATAACCAGTACTTTCTCTATTAGATCTTTATGTTTTCTGAGCAGATGCATGACTCAGCTCATAGTATGCTATGCCTACATTGGGAATGGAATGGAATGAATGGAAATTAACACATGCCCTTGAGGCTTCAGAGAAAGTGAGCAAATCCTATACACTTGAGCCTGTCAGATTTTATACCCAGAAAGGCAAGTGAAAGAAACTGATAACATTGTAATTACTATGGAAAAGTGGTAGCAATCTATTTCACTGGTGATGTGTACACCCTTTAAAGGATTTTAAAGGAATTCCAGTACTGTGATGAAGACCTATGGAAAAAGCTGTTCTTTGGGAATCTGCTGATAACTGAGTGCTCTATTTATATCCTGAAACCAGGTATTTTATATGCTTTCCTAATTTTACACTTTTTCATCATTTATCTGCCATCAGATGTAATTATGTGTTTTCAACATCTATGGAGGTACATTACTTTTTCATTTTAATTTCACAAAGTTCCTGACCTTAACAGTATCTTGTGGCAATGAGTTCCGTGGATCACTGGAGCATTGTGTGGAACATTTTCCTTGCATCAACTAAGTGTTTCAACACTAGTGAATCCCTAGCAGCATAGATTTCTTGCTTTAATGCAGCTTCTAGAATAGTTCTTAGGCAGATGTTCAGAAGAGCTGAGGCCCTAATAGGAAGAAGTCAATCTATGAAAATGAGATTCATACTCTACTTTTGTGTATTATTTATTTTCCATTCCATGTGGGCAGTATCTTTGGACAGGGAACAGTGTAAGCCTGACCTGTGTGGAAAGAGAGAGATCCAAATTACTGTAGCATCACCTAAACAGCAGAGTGGAAGCCCCATTCTGGCTGGAATAATTCTCTAGAAAGTGAAGTCAGTAGAGAAACACAAGTGTATCTCCCATACAGTATGCAGAAGGCTGCGTAAGTCACTTAGCTCTGCTAAGCGCTCAGATCTTAAAAAGGAATCACACTTTACCATAAACTCCTTTAACACCTCTTGATTCTCAATCCGCAACTGAAGGCCTTGAATAAGACCTGTGATGCCAGTCCTTGGACCTACTCCAGTCAGTGATGGTTTAAAGTTAATTAACTGAGTCAGTTCATCTCCAGAAGCAAAGGTTCTACCTATATATCAACAAAAAAACGAAGGAGGTTTTAATGATTATTGTTCATAGTGCAGAGTCTTGGCTTTAAAAACTAGGGGGCTGCAATACTTAAGTACATTTTGATGCTTATACTGTGGAAGTGAAATATGAAAAAATATTTTTGGCTTACTTATGTTCACAGCAGAAAGAAGAAGAAGTCAGCACCATGGATACAACCAGCACCACATTTCATGTAATTTGGAAGCAGATCCAACTATTGCAACTTATTGCCTCATACAGTTTCTAAATACAGTTTGTTCTAAATAAATTGTTCTTGCAGAATTGTAAACTTTAATGCCAGTTTATATTGGTATTGGAGACTCTGGCCACATCTTCACAGGGAATCATCTTCATGTTTCCAACACTTTCCTGAAAATTAGTATTGCCACACCCCACTGCTAGGAATAATCTCCGCAAATTCTTCCTCCCTGAAGTAAGAAAATATTTTCTGTTCTTTTCCTCTTACCTCACACTCCCCTTCAAGAAGAGATGTGAAGTATCTTTGATGCACCAAAATCAGGATTCAGTTTTACTAATTAGCTCATCCTGAAGTGTATGTTCTGATCCAAAACTTGACAGATTAAGAAGATGGATATTTATATTTCCAGAAATATCATTACTCTACTGGAGCAATTAAAAAACTTTTGTTACCATGTAGAATAAAATCAGTAGCTTGTTTGGTAAAAAATAGTGGTTTCAGACAGAGGAATTATGGAATTTGCCCTTTTAGTCATAGGATACTGTTGGCAAAAATAACATGCCAGCTGTCTCAAAGAAAACCTTCCACAGGATTGTTGTAGGCTGAAGGCAAGGATCAATGCTGTTTTCCTCTTGTAAGATGTCATTGCTACTCTTAACTAATCTCCGTTACGTAAGTGTTGTGCTTCTGTGCTTTTGTCTTGGGCTACAGCTTGCACCTGCCTTCCCTGAGCTTCTAAGACACTTTCTGTTCGCTAACCCTCACAGATGTGAGCGTGTTTCTATTAACTAGTTGAGAGTGCCAAAGAAGACAGATTCCCCACTCCAGACAGAGTGCAGTATTTCCCGTACACCATTCTTCCCTTCCAGATCAAGTGGAATAAAACCCCCAAACTTTGAGCAGGTAGTAGGGGATACATTGGTTATAATTTTCTGTTTGCTAACCAGCATGGCTTGGTAGTGTGAGGCACATTAATGTGGTTTACTTCTGATAAAAGCCATCAACAATTCACTGCTTCTACAGGGCTAGAAGAAGCAGGGAGAGATCTGTATTTCAGCGAATCTATGGGAAACTGCAGCATCCTCAGTATGATCCCTTTTACAAATTATTCTTGTTTGAGGTAGAAGCAGTTTATTTTCCTATAGGAACAACTAGGTGGATTCTTTCTGTAAACTGTCCTCTGATATCAGAGGGGCTTTAGCTCCAGAGCTGTGAAAATGCTTCAGTATGTGTTTAAGCACATCAGTTCTAGAGGTTTTAACGAACTTATTATATGAAGTGAAATATGGTGATTCTAGGAAAAAAGTCTTGAGATAGAAGTTGACCCTTTCATTCTACTTTTTTGTGTAAGTATTTCATTTTCTTTTTGAGGAGTTGTATGGGAACAGTAACGGAGAGAGGAGAATGATTTCAAAAACCTATTGCATGCAGTGATAACGAGCACATTTTGTAGTATGTCCCTGGAATTTGTTCCATTAATTCTCAATGCCTTCTTTGTGATTGCCTTTTGTATATGAAAAAGGCTTTCTACTACATCTAGTCAGTAGGATAATCCATCTGCTTTTATTTTATTCATTTTGGGACAAACTAAGAAATTCATTTTTTTAATTATGCACTGAGAAGCTCCCACAAATTTGCTTCTGACCCAAATTGTAATGCTCATTTTCTTTGTTCAGCCACTGAGCCAATATGTCATTTCTTTGCACTAACCAATAGCACATGATTTGAACAAATATAATGATGTTGCTCAAATTAATTAAACAACTTCCTTTTCCTCTTAATTGCTCAGCTTGTACACCTAATTGAGTATAATCAAGGTATTCAGAGATTTTCCTTTGGGGAAGGTCATGATATATAACATTACAATAAAAAAAAATCCCAACCAAAAACCAAACCAAAAGACAGAAAAACCCCCCACAAAAAGTAAAAATAAGAAGTCGTTCATCCTTTTGAAACCGGAGCTCCAAACAGAGGTGCTCAGAGCAGTGGCAAGTGGGTGAAGGCCAGCAGAGCTGCCCTCTCTTGGTTCAATTAACTACATTCAGACTCACGTTCTTTCCTTCTAGCAGTTCTCTGAAAGAGTTGGAGAGACCCTGATGTAGGCCTTCTTGTGCATGTTGCAAAGGTTTGATGGCTTTCATATGTATCAGTGGTAAAAATTGTGTCCTGAGTGTCCTGGTCTTTGAGACACAAAGAGCAAATTCTTAGCTTGTGTACAAGGGATTAATGTTGTTCTCACTGTACAAATACAGAGGAGCTGGCCTACAATGTTAAAGAAACAAGAGAAGGTTTTGCATGGTTACTTCTAGGCAGAATGGAAATCCTGTGAGGCATATCATCATCTTCATTGTTCCAGCTGTCTGACTCAGGCTGCTGACTCTCTCTTCTGCAGCCTTCACATTCTGCATATTTCTGTGACCTGTAAAACAGCATTAGTTGAATGGTCTTATCGAAGCAGCAGAAGCTTTGATAATCTGAAGCATACTGAGGTTTTGGATTTAATCTATTTTTGGTTACTTATACCTCTCTTGAGCAAGTATTTTCAAGAATTAGTGTGAACTCTGAAGAACGTAAGTTCAAGTAATAGTAGCATTTTGTCTGGAGTAGTGTTTGCAAATATAGCTAGTGAAAAACACTGTTATTTGGATGTGGTATTTTATTTTTTCAAAGAGATAAGAACATACTTTGTATAAAAAGCTGACCAGAAATGATTGAAAATAAGGATTGTCACAGTTATAGACAATTTGTCATGTATGACATTTTTCAGGTGTTAGGCAATCATAGCTACATAGGTTTTGCTTGTTACTGTTACTGTTTCCTAAAGTATTTAGAAAATTTTAAAGCACTTATATTTAAGTAGAAGATAATTGAACAATAATCACACCTGATTGCCTGGTATATCACGAGATAATGTTATATTAGCAATGAGATAATAGCAAGTAGCACTGAGCCTTTGTTCACAAGGATGCACTCACTTGCAGATGCTCTTTCAAACTTTATCTCTGCAAGCAGGTAAGTTAGAGAAGATTTTCATCCCTCATTGATTGGCCAAGTACTGTTCTTACAAAATTTAAAGTTTTAAATGTAAACATTTAGTCCCTTTTTCTATTTATGTGGGTTATAAGTGATAAAGAAAGTAATCATATTTCATATATTCTGCATCATTGTACTAGATAAAACTGCCCATGTCTTAACAATACTCCATTATTCATTGATTTCCCATTGTACTGTAGATTTAAAATTTGAAGTAAAATACTTGTCTTCTTGTACTATGTACTTTTTTGGAGTAACATCCTCAAATTCTCTTGATTCCAGATGTCTGGAGTTCAACTTCTCTATCACTACTGCCATAATAGCACAGGGTCCAGCTCAGGCTGCAAGAGCTGCTGGAACACTTAGGAAAATGCACGGGGACGCTGCCCACACAAACACGGTAGTGCTACCACTGTTCTCTCTCCTCAGCTAGAAAGGCTAAAGCTAGCTTAGCCATGTCTGCATGAGATGTTACACCTAGAAGCTTCTGTTTCATTTGCCTTAGTAGTTGTGTGAAAGCTGTTTAGCAGCTCTTACTGCAGATGGAGCTGCATTCCAATGGAACTGCATTTTTATCATTTGGGACACGTCAGTGCAATTGCATACCATATTAGGACAGCTCTGGAAATGCAAGAATAAATTATCTCTACTATTTATTTTAATAGTTTTACTGCATTTGAAAAACCTACCTGTCTGAAATGTTACTGATGATAGCCTTACACTCTTGTCCAGCCAGCTGACCTTGCAGAGGGGAATTGGGTGTACTTTCTGGATCCTGCAGGTTTAAAATAAGAAAAAGCTGTGAAAAATCAGTACACAGAAACATCAAGAATATAGTTACTTTCATCAACATTCTTTCTTATATTTAACAAGAATTTGTCCTTCACTCAGGAAGGAAGGGGAAAATAGAATAGTTTCTACTTTCAGATGTAACTTTGATTCAGCATTGCAGTATCTATTAGGAGTAAAAAGCCACATCAGCTGTATTTGTGAGTTTCATAACAATACAGTCTTCAGATTTCTCTACAACTTAGCAAGCATGACTAAACTTTGAAAAGTTTCATGTTAGTTATATCCTCTCTGATCTCATAAAGAAAATGTAATCATAGGAATCATGAGTCACACTCTACTCTTTATCTCCCAGCTCTTGGAAGCAGAAAGCACCAGTGTCTGAGATGGAATTGTTGGTAATAATTTCCTTTTTTTATCTCAGACACAACGATGCCAGCTGTTAGAAGCAGAGTGTAGCTGCTCTTTGGAAGAAGCACACAACTAACAGAGAAGGCAGACCCTTGATCACTCTCCATATGCAGTAGAAGCAATAGTATTGGTGGCTTTTTTTCCATCCTAGAGAATAACTTGGTCCTGCATTTAAATAATGAGGCAGGATAGTGGAAGATGTCCCTGCCTGCAGCAGGGAGGCTGGAACTAGATGATCTTTAAGGTCCCTTCCAACCCAAACCATTCTATGATTCTACGATTCTATATCTGGCATTAGCATGTGGAAGTGGCTCCTTCTGAGTTGCAACACTTAACAGATAATTATTAAAATTTTAGTTCAGAGTGGTGTTTCTTCTCCTTTCCTTGCTTAATATTCCAGGTGCACTCAGAACCACCTTGGCATGTTAC